TTTTGTTTATATTTTTTAATATTTTTCCCTTGTCATAATAGGGATTACATTTTTCAAAATTTAATGTTGGCATGTGGTATACCATGACTAGCCACAATAGTTTCTGTTTTTTAATCTTGTAAAAATATTGCTTCGGAAATCTAGTCAAGCAGTCAGCAACAACTTCTTCTTCTTAGTTCCTGTCGTTCCTAGTGGAACATAGGGCTACAACAACACTTCGCCGACGGAAGTGTTGTTGTAGTTTCTTTAGCAGAGTGTTATCGGGGTGGAGTTGCTAGCCCCATGCCCAAGTGGGCATGTTTGGTGCGACAAGGACGCGATCCCACGACCCTCGGATTGCGAGTCGAGTGACTTATCCACCGGGCCATGCCGGGCCCTAGCAACAACTAATGTATATTTATTTCCTGAGTGTTAAATTGGTAATGGACCTAAAATATCCATACCTATCATCTGAAATGGCATTGTTAAATTTGGCATTCTTTGTAAGGGAGCATTTCATAAATGCAGACTGTTTTTTCAGTTATGATATTCTGTACATAATTCACAATAACTTCTAATATCTTTTCTTCTGTTTTGGCAAAAGAAACATTTACTTATTTGACTGTATGTTTTTGCAAGTGTTAAGTGGGCTGCAAATGGAGCATTATGGTAAGTAGTATTGACTGTTTTTCAAATTCTGTGGAACTAATATTTGAGGTATTCTATCTCCCATCATAATTTTCTTGGATGATGGCGTTCAAGGTCTGTAATGATATAGGTGTGTTAAAGTAAAAAACAAATTTTGTGTTGGGCAGTTTGTATGAAACAAATTAATGAACTGCTTATAAATAAATCACACATATGACATCTAAATCTGGAACTGAGTCTAAATGAAAATTAAGGGAAACAATATCTGCCCAGGGGTCATTTACTGTGCATGTCACGAGATTTTAGTGGCTTACATTCAAAATATTATTAAACTACTTATTGTTTGTGTTATACCAATTAGTATAGCATAACATCGTAGCTAGTAATCCATATTTTAATAACATATAAGTTTTAAGTTCTTAATTGTATAAGGCAATATTTGAAAAATCCTGAATTTCCTCTAATGTGAGAAAGGTGACAAATTTTCTTTATACATCCCAGCTTCTCTATTTTATTCACCACCCCTCCAATAAATACAAAATGCAATGTAAATTACTCACTATAAAATCATCTTTACTCAGACAAACCATAATTTTATAGCTTTCAATTTCATTTGGTTACAGAGCCATCAAATAGAAAATCGAACCCCTCTTGCCATACCTACCTGTCATATTCCCTCTTTCAGGATTTGTTGATATTTCTCTCTTATGTTTAATTCTATATTATCTATAACCAAGTTCGATCCCACGGGAAAATTAATGACTAGTTTGGATGGTTTTGTAACGGTTGTTGACACATAGTTAGAAAGCCAGAAAAATTGTTATAGTTGAGGGAAATTGTCTACTTTTTGCAGGTTATTATTTTATGTATATTATTTAATTAAATAAAAGTATTTAGTGCATAACTACCATTAGTATAATAAAGTAGGGTTAAGTGTCATCGACAGCAAGAAGATTTGGGTAAGTTCTTTATTCTTATGAAAGTAACTAAAATGTAAAAATAGGGATCTCTTTAGGTTTGTTAAGGTTAGATTAGGTAAATAATAATATAATAAAAATATTTCATGAGGCATGGACACGAGCAGCTCAGAGTAGCTCATGAGTAATATAATTCGATAGCGTAACACGAGCTGCATGTTCCCCGAGTGATTCACAACTTATAATGGTGGTAATATTAGTTAGACACAGTTAAAAGGGCAATAAAACAATAAAATTTAGTTATAAATAGATGTATACTGTTTTGAGTTTAAATCTACTTAGGATAAACTAATGTAGTGTCATGTTACATTTGAAGTCATTCTAGAGAGAAAAAGAGGGTAATTTAGATTATTTTTTAGTGATGCGAGGTATAGAGTTACCTTGTGTAGAGTTAGGATAGAGAAAATAACAGATAAAATATAAAGTTTTACTGAAAACTAACACTTGAAATGTATTTAGGAGGTTTTAGGGATTACACAAATGAAATTTGAGATTTTTGAGATGAAGAAAGTATTTTTAATCTTGACATTAAAATCTCTTTGCACATGGACTATTCAAAACAAATACTCGATATATTCACGGACAAATCTTTTTTTAGTTTATTAAAAATACTTCACTAAATATATGATTTTTTGTTTGTGAAAGACTTATAATGTTTACTGAAAGACTGCCAAATCTTGTGAAGATATACACACTATAGTAAAAGTTACTAGTATCAAATCTATAAAGACTTTGAACGAGTACAAAGAGGTCACATGGTTGATCAAATTTACCGAGCCCATATTTAGAGAGTTAAGTTGGATGCTATTAATTAAAGGCACAAGGAATTTTTCTTAAGGCAATCTTGTGGCCAAGCTAGATTGAGAAAATGTTAGTACAGCTGATTACCAAGAAAAAATATATTTGTATGTGTACAATGTAAAAAGAAACTTGTAGGCTGAAGTACCACATTAATATATAGGGTTTTACTAACAATTTCAAGATGGGTCACGGGTGAAATGCCATGTCATCTAGTTTATTCATTAGAATTATAATCTACAGTTTGATACCAAACTTATTGACACAAATTCATGAAATAGTAGTTCAATAACATTTTGAATGTGAGTTTTTAGTAGTATATATTACTCAATTTTTTAATTTAAAAGCAAGTGTTAAAAATCACAGATAAACATTGATCTTTGTGTATCATGTGGTGAGTTGAATGTAGCACTTGTTCAAATTAGATGTTTGTGAAGTCAAAATACAAAGTCTATAGTTTCGAATGAATTAGAAACTCAAATTACCAATATTGACAAGCTAGAATATAAAATAGCCTATTATCTTTTCAATTTACTAAGATATTGCTCATTAATAAATCAAACACAGTGGCACCCCACCCACCTCTTTTCATTTTTGGAAATGCTCTCTTATATACACTTACTTCTATATATGATATGAATAACCAATTAGAAGCTCAGAATGTCACCCTAGTAGCTTTCTCAGCCATTTTAATGGACTTGGTGCCAATTATTTCTTACTTCTATATATGATATGAATAACCAATTAGAAGCTCAGAATGTCACCCTAGTAGCTTTCTCAGCCATTTTAATGGACTTGGTGCCAATTATTTCTTTTGATCCAATATTTCAACTAGTTAGGGTGTGTCTTTAGTCTGCTCGAAATTTTAT